TGGTATTGTAGTACTTTTAAAGTTTTCTCACTGGTGAATGACACATGATGTAGCCCAGCGGTTCCCAATTCCAGTCCTCGCGCCCCCCGCTCTGCATATTTTGCTTGTCTCGCTTAGTTAACACACCCGAGTCAGATAACCAGCTCGTTAAAAGTGAGCTACGTGCATGAACTGTGTTCCGATCGGTATGATCCCTACACAGTGTTTATTGATCCCTACACAGTGTTTATTGCTCCCTACTCCCTGAGCGGGGAAAATCCGTTCACGTTTACTTCACTTCGGAACATTGGCTGGAATTGGGAACCGCTGATGTAGCCTATTAGTAATGTTGTCTCTGATCTGTGAGCGTATATGCGTTCAGGGGGCGTGGCTTTGGACGGCGATTGCAGGGAGGGTGGGACGTTGGCTTTCAGTGCTATCAGGCTAAAGTTAGCATTTTCCAAGATCTCCTACTGCACCTTTAATCATCTATGATGTAATGATGCTAAATCTCAATAACCCAGAAAAGCTACTAAGACAATACAAGGAAGTGACTAACCACATTTGCACACTCATATAGGGCCTGGTCGTACTCGCTCAGAGCCACCAGAAAGATGATGGAAGTAACGTTTTCAAAACAATGGATCCACTTCCGTCTTTCTGACTTTTGGCCTCCAACATCAACCATTCTACAAAAAGAAGAGGTTTTGAATTATAAAATGGGTCACAGTCAGTCATCCATCTTCACACCACCATATAATTAAGAGTTACCTGAATATGACTGTCTGGAGGTCAAAGATGTACTCAATGATGCCTGTGGTTGGAATTCGGACTCTCAGAATATCCTGAACAGTCGGCAAGTAAAAGGATGCAGATATTCTGTCAATGTCATCGAGGTAACTAGTAAACAGAAAAAAATAAATAAAACAGACTTTGAGAAACCACGAAAATTCATTTTTAGTTATTTGTCCAAAGCCCTAAATGGCCACCAAAATTCACCAAACACAAAGGAAAGTTTCAATTTCATATGATAAAGTTATACATATTTTTAATTAATATATCATGCAATATGTCATAAATATTTTTATTTTCTGTAGTAAAATGCTTAATTGTGTGCTGAGGTAAAAAGAGTCTTCTGTTGCATACATTTCTCAGTTCATGAATTCCCTGAATCAAACCACTGACCAGGGATTTGCACTAAAGTCTGAGCTACAGCTACTTTTTTCTTCTAAATTACAGTTTACTTCTAAATTGAAAGTAGAGCTCTTAAAAAAGCAGCAAATTACACAGTGACAGTATACAGGTGCATCTCAATAAATTAGAATGTCGTGGAAAAGTTCATTTATTTCAGTAATTCAACTCAAATTGTGAAACTCGTGTATTAAATAAATTCAATGCACACAGACTGAAGTAGTTTAAGTCTTTGGTTCTTTTAATTGTGATGATTTTGGCTCACATTTAACAAAAACCCACCAATTCACTATCTCAACAAATTAGAATACTTCATAAGACCAATAAAAAAAAAAATTTAGTGAATTGTTGGCCTTCTGGAAAGTATGTTCATTTACTGTACATGTACTCAATACTTGGTAGGGGCTCCTTTTGCTTTAATTACTGCCTCAATTCGGCGTGGCATGGAGGTGATCAGTTTGTGGCACTGCTGAGGTGGTATGGAAGCCCAGGTTTCTTTGACAGTGGCCTTCAGCTCATCTGCATTTTTTGGTCTCTTGTTTCTCATTTTCCTCTTGACAATACCCCATAGAATTCTTGAATCGATTTTGCTTGACAATCCTTATAAGGCTGCGGTTCTCTCGGTTGGTTGTGCATCTTTTTCTTCCACACTTTTTCCTTCCACTCAACTTTCTGTTAACATGCTTGGATACAGCACTCTGTGAACAGCCAGCTTCTTTGGCAATGAATGTTTCTGGCTTACCCTCCTTGTGAAGGGTGTCAATGATTGTCTTCTGGACAACTGTCAGATCAGCAGTCTTCCCCATGATGGTGTAGCCTAGTGAACCAAACTGAGAGACCATTTTGAAGGCTCAGGAAACCTTTGCAGGTGTTTTGAGTTGATTAGCTGATTGGCATGTCACCATATTCTAATTTGTTGAGATAGTGAATTGGTGGGTTTTTGTTAAATGTGAGCCAAAATCATCACAATTAAAAGAACCAAAGACTTAAACTACTTCAGTCTGTGTGCATTGAATTTATTTAATACACGAGTTTCACAATTTGAGTTGAATTACTGAAATAAATGAACTTTCCCACGACATTCTAATTTATTGAGATGCACCTGTAAGTTGGTAATAAAATGTGTATATATACACACACTACTGTTCAAAAGTTTGGGATCAGTAAAATTTGTAATGTTTTTTAAAGACGTTTCTAATGCTCATCATGGCTGTATCAAAAAATAGAGAGAACAAAAGTAATTTTGTGAAATATTATTGCAATTTAAAAGAACAATTTTATTATACTTTAAAATATAATTTATTCCTGTGAAGCAAAGCTGAATTTTCAGCATAATTACTCCAGTCTTTAGTGTCACATGATCCTACAGAAATCATTTTAATATGCTGATTTATAATCAATGTTGGAAACATTTGTGCTTCTTAACATTTTGTGGGGCCTGTGATACTTTTTCAGGATTCTTTGATAAGTAAAAAGTTATAAAAGCACACCATGTATTCAAAATAGAAAGTTTGTCTTACAATATACACTACTATTCAAAAGTCTGGGGTCAGTAAATGCGTTCTTTCTTTTTTCAAGATATTAATCCTTTTATTCAGCGAGGATGTGTTAAATGGATAAAAAAGTGATAGTAAAGACTTATATTGTTAGAAAAGGTTTCTATTTTGAATAAATGTTATTTTTAACTTTTTATTTATAAAAGAAAAAAGTATCACATGTTCCAAAAAATTATTAGCACAACAGTTTCAACACTGATAATAAATCAGCATATTAGAATGATTTATGAAGAATTATGTGACACTGAAGATTGGAGTAATGACAGATGAAAATTCAGTGCTGCATCACAGAAATAAAAAGTAAAGTATATTAAATATATATATTTTTAAAGTAATATATATATATATATATATGTGTGTGTGTGTGTGTGTGTGTGATATTAGTGCTGTCAAACAATTAATCAAGATTAATCGCATCCAAAATAAAAGTTTTTGTTTATGAGTGTGTACTTTGTGTATATTTATTATTATTTATATATAATATAAAATATAATTATATAAATATATAAATGTATATACATGTAATTATTTTCAAAATATAGGATGAGGTGTTGTGTATTTATATATAAATAAATATTTATATGTATTTATATATATATAAATTTATCTAAATAAACACAGTACACATTTTTGGTATGAGGTGTTTGTGCTGATATGCTTGTTAGGTTTTCACCAAACGTGCTGCAGTGCATTATGGCCAAACATCTCCACTTTGGTCTTGTCTGTTCAAAGGACATTGTTCTAGAAGTCTTATGGTTTGTTTAGATGCAACTTTGCAAACCTAAACTGCGCTGCCATGCTTTTGTAGATAGGCTTTTTTTCTGGCAAGCCTTCTTAACATGCCATACTTGTCCCATATTTTATTAATTGTACTATAATGAACTTTATCATTTCACATGTTAGCTGAGGCCCATAGAGTCTGCGGTGTAGTTCTTGGGTTGTCTGCCATTTCTCTGAGCATTACACGATCTGATCTTGGGGTGAATTTGCTGAGACGTCCACTCCTGGGAGGATTGGTGTCTGTTTTGAATGTCTTCCACTTGTGAACAATCTTCCTCACTGTAGAATGATGGACTTCAGATTGTCGGGAAATGGCCGTGTCACTCAGATTGATTGCAGCAACAATTGCTTCTTTAAGATTATTGAAACTTACTCACTGTAGAATAATGGACTTCATATTGTTTGGAAATGGCCATATTACTCTTCCCAGATTGGTTGCAGCAAAAATTGCTTCTCTAAGATCATTGCTCATGTCTTGCCTTTTTGGCATTGTGTTAACACACACCTGAAGGCTCCAGACCAGCAAACTGCCAAAACATCTGCTTTTATAGAGGTGCTCACACTTGCTGATGATCAGTTAATCAAAGGCATTTGATTAGCAGTATATATACACACTTTGGCCCTTGCATAAAGTTATTACAGTCAAGTCAGAGAGCAAATGTGCAAAATATATACAGTATATATAAAAAAGAATAATACCAGGTTCACATGTGATGCGAAATATTGTTATAGGGTCACATATAAGTTTTAACTTAACAAAAATAATAATTACCACTTTCTGGCACTATTGGATTTATTTATCATTTATTTATTTATATTTTATTTATTAATTTAAGTGACAACATGACATGTAGGCCAAGTATGGTAACCTATACTTGGAATTTGTGCTCTGCATTTAAACACACACTCTCTCTCTCACACACACACACACACACACACACACACACACACACACACACACACACACAGCCGGAGCAGTGCAGCGGTGCCCGGGAGTAATTAGGGGTTCAATGCCTTGCTCATGGGCACCTAAGTCATGGGTAATAAGTATGGATGAGAGCGCTGTTCATTCACTCCCCATATTCACATGCCATAGTATGCAATGATTACCATACTCAGATACAACCGTATTAACTTGGTATTCCAAAAAAATACAAAAAACACACACACACATTGCATTATCATGGTGCCCTATTGAAAATGTGGTATATACTACAATAGTACTTTTTGTCAGTGTGAAAAATTAAATCTTCAGTGCACTTACTATTTGGTCGAGTCTGATAACTGGAACTCTCTCCTGCGTTCAAAGCATTTCTGCAGACCTTGGTCTTTCCACACACTCTTGATGGCTTCAGCATGTTTAGGCTCCAGTGACTGTACTGTTTCGGGGATCACACTGTTAAGCATTGCAGCATGTGTCTACAACACACACAGATACGATTTTAGTTATGAGGAGAGCTAAGATATTTAACATGTCTAATAAAACATATGCTTTCTCTCAGAATTCCTGGTGCATACTTTGTTTTTTCCATCAACAAAAGGAATGTTTAGGTGCTCCATGGCTTGAAGCAGGTTGTGAATGGAAGCAAAGATATTCTGGAACACCAGCTTGGCATAGGCCCTCCTGTCCTCCTCTGTGTAGCCCCTGCCATGAATGATTCTCATCTGCTTGATGAAAGTACTCTTCCCGCTCTCCCCTGTGCCTGTCGAAGGACATGGAAAGTTTTTGCTGTGAGATATTGTGCATTACTGTGTAGCTATATGAAAAGTTTCATTTGAGAGGTCTTACCATTAGTACTGAGACCAAAAATTTAAATTCTATCATTTACTTGCACTCCTGTAAGTAACTTACCTTACTCACTTAAACCTTCTTTTACAGCTTTGTTTCGTCACAATCCAGTTTCATTGTATTGAAAAGAATAGCCTGGACTAAGTGACTCTTTTTGCGTTTCTTTGCATTTGTATGCGCTCCAAACAGCGTTAGGGTGAGTAAATAATGACAGATTCTTATTTTTTGCATGAATATTCACTTTAATACCAAAGGTAAAGCTTCAAAGACCACTGCAGTATTGCTGCAGCTTTTTTTTCCATCTCAGTTCTCAACTTGGCCTTATAAGGACTGATTACATTGATCTGACATTTTTTTCATACGTCCTTCATGTAGACAATATTCCTGTTCTGGTGGAATCTGAAAGTGCTGTATATGTTATTGAGCTGAAAAATGATAGGCCTACTAGAGCTACATTTGAATTTGTCTCATAAATCCTGAAGTTTGCATTATTGATTCCGATCCGATTCTAATAATCATCTCTCAGCCACAGTTTATGCTTATTTTTGGAAACACACAGAGACCTGACAAAGGACACCTAGTATGGATTTTCTAATTTGCATGTTTGCTTTAGGATATGAACATTGTGATTGTGTGATCAGAATGATCTGCCAGTAAGGTGTGAATGGTTTGAATATGATTTGTTTTAATATGAAACCATAGTTAAACAACTATATTTAGAAACTATCATTTAACAAAGTAATCTATACACTACAATACAATTACTTGTTTAATAACTTGTAAATGAGATTGTTGTGATAAGTATTGCTGATTATTGATGAATGTTTTATTTTTGTGTCTCTCTTTGTGGTCAAGTCACCTTTATTTATATAGCGCTTTTAACAATACAGATTTTAGGGGGGCGTGGCAGAGTCTTAACTTTGATAAAGAATATCTCTTTGGTTTTGAGACTTTAGTCTTTGCAACTTCAGGGATCTTATCTATGCACAATCCAGCTTGTAACACTCCAAAGAGAAAGGAAAACTTGAAATCGCATCATATGACCCCTTTAAATAGGAAAATAGTGTGTCGATAATGCCAAAGGACAATAGTAAACAGTCAAATTCTCAGTTAAAGTCTGTTCATCATTGATTCAGTGATGTCTTCGTCCAGCTCAGTTCAGTTCAAATAATATCTGTGCAATCAAGTCGACGATCATAAAAAGCGTATTTTGCTTCAAAACTGAATAGTAGAGAAAACCACACAGAACACCAAACTCAGTCTCTTGAGTTTGATAACACGTAACCAAGTATGATGCCACATACACCCACACAAAAATAATTTTGACATTGCAGTGCTGGATGTAAATGATTGTATCTATTACATGCCAGACAGGTCTGACAATCGGCAGTTTTGCTAAAAGGGGGGAGATTTTTATCATGGTTAAAACAAGGAAACACATAAGCTCAATCATCTGTTCTTCTATTAAACTGGCATTGACTCAGCTGATTAGAAACAAACTTAACCTAAAATATAGTGTAAAATGCATAAGTACATATCAAGGAAAACATAAACGAACTGAAACACATAAATAACTGCTTATGTTCGAGATGATGCAAGTACACGTATAGGACATGATGGAGCTGATCCTATCAGTAGATCCTACGATAGGAATTCACACATTGTTCCTGTTTGCATGTTTTTTGCAAATATCTTGACATGCTTACTTGCATTTTAGTTTCATTAAGAACAGAAAAATAATGCTGTGCTGTGTGAGAATGAATGACTTTCCATTGACATCCTTTTGCATAGATTTGCATGTGACCGCTAACAGTCAGAGGAAACGTCATCTAAACATTTGAAGTGTGAATTCTGTGAGCCTTATAATTATTGTATAAAAACTTTAGTGCATATCATCTGGCAACTGAATTGTTTTATATTTTAATGTCAATAAATGACTGATGCTGAACAACTTATTTACACTGACCATTACAAATTTTCAGGTGTCACTAAAAACATAGAAATCTACATAGCTAAAATAAAACAAACAAACAAAAATGAAAAGTACATACCTAAAAGCAAAAGTTTCAGTTGTCGGGATGAATCCCGCTTGTCCATCTTAAGCTGTCTCTCAATTTCTTGGTGAATCCTGATGCTTTCTCTGTCTTCCCCCGACAAGCAGCAGTCCCCCATCCTGAACAGCTTGAACCTTCTCCAGTACTTTGCAGTTAACACATTCATCAATCACTCACCCACCAGTGTTAAAAACCCGTCTTCAAAAAGCCTATTGAAACACGCCTACCTCAGGACTAGCCTGATGTACTGTCATTTACAGGTATAGTTTCTTCCTTGTTCAATGGATGGGGTGGGTTGTGTCACATAAGGCATAGTTTCCCTTTTCCTCTGCACCAGTCTCAATTGCTCACAAACAGGAAAAATCATGAATGGAACTGAAGAATGCCATTTTAAAACTGTAAATTGTGTAACATTCTCCTGTGGAACACACAATTTTTGAAGAAAGTTTAATCCAACAGTTTTGGTACCCATTGACTTCCATTGTATCAACGAACAAACAAACAAATAAGAAAGAAAGAAAGAACCAATCTTTAAAAATCTCTCTCTTTTTTATGTTCCACAGAAGAAAGAATGTTGTACAGTTTTGGCATGGCATGAGGGTGAGTAATTTATTTAACCTGTAATATTATTTTCTTCTTGTGCACCTTGTCCAGGACTGGAGATCATGATGCATACAAGGAACTTATTGTAGCATTACACCTCTTGCTCAAAATGCCACTAAACAAAACTGGTTTGTTGACTGATTTTAGAGGGGTTTTGGGCACTTTTTAGATGGTCAGATTGATCCCAGCTTATTAACATTTTAAGAACTTTTATCACATTTGAAACTGCCAGAGGCAGAGAAGATGCTATAGCATACCAGACGGTTATACGTGAATGTGAATAGAGTTCATGTCCTCATTTAATCATTTCAGTCAATGAGCTTAAACCACTTGCTTGGCCAAGGATGTGCAAATATCACCCAGACAATCAGATCTTGCACATCCAAATGTAATGATGATCCAAATGTAGTGATGTAAAAATATATCAGTGTGATAATGATATTTTAAAATACTGATTATGAAATTTAGCAATCAATTATAATGCATTAATTATGCCCAAAGTGTTAACAGCCATTACATGTGCTCTAACAACAAAATAAGAGCTGTGGGAACAAGTGTGCTCTCTATTAAGAAGGTTAACACACAATAACTTTATTTTTTAAATATCGTTTTAAAGGGGTCATATTATGCGATTTCAAGTTTTCCTTTCTCTTTGGAGTGTTACAAGCTGATTGTGCATAGATAAGATCCCTGAAGTTGCAAAGACTAAAGTCTCAAAACCAAAGAGATATTGAGAGAGAGAGAGAGAGAGAAAGAAAGAGAGAGAGAGAGAGCGCGAGAGAGAGAGAGAGAGAGAGCACGAGAGACTTTTGACTTTTAAGGTCTCTTTATTACAAAAAATGTAAAAATTTAAATTGACATCAAAAGAGAAAAAATAATACATTTTTTGGCGCAAATTTATAAAACAAACATTACTCAAATATAAATTTGCAAACCTTCATCAGAGTCAACTTCACAAATGCATTGATTAACTTCCCATTTATATTTGAACATCTGCAGATCATTTATCAACTTATAATAACTATACTCTATACTAATACGGGATTTTATTAATCCCTTCAGTATTGAAATAGCATCAGTTGATCCTTTATCATTCAATTTACTTTTTCTTGACAACCATATAGCCATCTTTGCTTGCCCAAATAAGAAGTTTAATAAAACATGACTCCTCATTTTACTTCTGCTGTACTTTGGCCCAAAAATAAACCTTGCAGGTGCAAATAATTCCCCCAGGTTTTGACACCACTCTTCCATTTTATAAAATAATGGTTGTAATCTCCCACAATTAAAAAATAAATGGAAGACAGTCTCTTGTGCTCCACAAAAAGGACAGCCCTCCTCAACCAGTGGATCGAGGTGTGCTCTGTGTCTGTTTGTGGCTATTATACCATGCACAATCCTCCATTGTAGGTCTCCAGTTCTTTTCTCAATGGGAGGTTTGTACAAGGTCCTCCAGCAACCTTTAGGGGAAACGCTCGACCCAAAAATCTCTTGCCATTTAGACTCTCTCACATTCTGAAGCTGAAGAAGATGTGACACCTTTACACACAGTACATAAATAGCTTTCTTTCCAGCATTTCTAAAATTATGGTAAGGGGCGTTACATTTCCGACGAGTGCTTGCGGTGTTCGGCCAATCACAATGCACTGGGTCAGCTGGCTAATCAGAGCAGACTGCGCTTGTCGGAAGGAGGGACTTTGTAGAAAACGAAGCGTTTGAGAGAGGCGGGGCATAGAGGACCTACAATAATGTACAGTATTTGAAAAATAATGTGTTTTTTGAACATTAAAGCATTCTGTTACACCAAATACACAAAATAATGATCTTTAAAAAAGCATCATATGACCCCTTTAAACAGCATTTTCATCTTTTTTTTTTTTTTACGAAATATCTAAGGTAGTGAAACTTGCTGGAAATCAACATCCTGGACATCCAGGGCCAAAATATATAATATGCTAAATGCATAACAAAGGCATTTTTTTTCAATTGTAATATCAAACCTGCAGCTAAACTTTTTTTTTTTTTTTTTTTTTTTTTTATAGTTTTGTATTATATATTACATTTATTTCATTCAACCATATTTAGAAAATAACAATGACATGTACGCACCAAAAATGATCGAATTATAAATGAATGAATAAATTAATATAAATACATTTATGAATAAATATTAAACATATACATTAGCAGACCTTCTGTTGATAAAAGTGGCATTCATTTGTTGTCATTATAGCTAAAATAGCTTTAAATACATTTCGTGAGTTAACTGCATGTCATGTTACACAGAATTGCATGCTACGTTACACATGTGGAATATTTCTCTCATTACATCCCCCAAAATGAAATTATAAGGAACAAAATGTATGTGCATGTGATTATGTTTTCTGATAGAAACAGACTGGCTCGTCTAGTATACGATGCTACGAGTGACCTAATGACGCTGTTCGCCACAAACATGCAGGAAAACAAACCTGCTAAATATTTATTTATTGCCAAAGAGGAAAAAACTAAACTTATAGTATATACTTATAGGAAATATATACCTAAAGCAATACAAAATACAACTTCATGGCTATTAAGAGATATCTGTGGCAGTTCCCGGTGCTTCAGAAAATTATACTGTTTCTGTGTTTTAAAGCAGTAGATGGTTTTGTAAATATAAAAATCAAATATAAATTTGAAAATAAAAACGTCTGAACAAAATTCTGCTGTGGCGTCTGGCTGTATATTTAAGAGTGTAAGGTGTCTTGCGTCACAGCACACTTATGCAACGTTTTTGGGATGGAATGAGGAAGTATGAACAAAAACAGGCTATTAAATTGCATAAATAGCAGCTCAAGACCAGTACAGAACATATTAAACTATTAAACTTAAAAGAAATGTCTGTAAAATTAATGCATAATGTTCTGATAGATAACGGATAAGAGATAAGGTTTTTTCTTATAGTGCAGGTTTTTAATCACATTCAAATATAATATAATTTCCTTTGATATTCGTTTATTATCTGATGCAAACCATCACAAAATTTGGTTCAATACCATTTTAATAGTTCAGTTTGGAATTATGTTTAAAAATATGATGAAGACACAAATGTAACTGTACACAAGTATTTTTGTACTGGATTTCGATAATTGAAATATCAAAAATTGACACTGAAATAGTAAATTAACACGTTATGCTTTTATTAAAATTCATAGCTGACACACGTTCACAACAAAAAATGACCAAGGCCAAAATTATAAGTGGGGAATTTGTACTCATTTGTACTTCTGGGATCCTTTGTACTTCTGCTACTATCATGTAAAGAAAAGCACTGCACAGGGACTGTTGACATAATGCACACATTCCAAAATAAATCACTCACACAGGTAGAACAAAACAAAAAGTCTTCATAACAGCTGAAAGATAAAAAGATCAGAAAAGACGAGCAGCTGAGATAACTATTGAATGAAATCTTAAGCTACAATTTGTCATTGTCACTACATCATCATAAACAATAATTATTCACATTTCAGATCAAAACTTTGCTGAACTGTCCACACATTTTGGTTTAATTATACATGTTGCTTTTGCATTCTAAGTGACAAATTTCAGTAAGCCTGCAGAATATATTTTCATTTAAACAGCTGAAGAAGTTATCGGTAGTTGTAGCTCTCATCGTCATATTCTAACTCATCCTCCTGCTCGTCTCCCAGCTGCCCATATCTGAATTTGCGATACACAGTGCCGTCCTGTCCCATGTACACAATATCTTCGTCTTCATCATCTTCATCTTCATCATCCCGATTCCCCTTCTGATCACCGAGGTCCACCAGCTGCGACTCACGGAACCGTCCAGAACTAGAGCTTGCTTGACCACCGTAGGCAGAGGTGGATGATGATGTGCCTCTGTAGAAGCTGTCTCTGCCACCACCGTTGCCCAGTTTTTCATACCCACGCGGGACAGCAGGCTCAGGCATGGGTCGTTTGGAAAGAGAACGCTTAATGAGGATGATTACAGCAATCAAGGCCAAAACAAGCAGGATGGAGGCGGTGATGAAGAGTGGCAGGTTTCCTGTATATTCCTCTTCTTCATGATTGCGGAAGGCAAAGTTAGTGCTGAGGACACACTCACCTTTAATAGAAATAAAAGTTTATTCTAAAGCCTCGCACAAAGAATAAAGACAGGACAACTATTATTAGTTCACCCACAAATAAAAATCCAAGCCAGGCTCATTGGAAAAAAAAACCATGCAAATTTTCTGCAAAATATGACTATGCATTTTGCAAGTTTTGCAACACTTTTAAAGTGAAATGTCCAGTGAGTGGTAGTAAAAGCATGTTCAGTTTTATTCTAAACTTATAAGCATCAATCTGGCAAAATGTTATTACTTTGATTGCTGTATGTCACGAGAGTTCGGAAATGCAATGTCCGGCAAGTGGTGCTGAAAGGTTTATGTTCTGGCGATTAAAAATAACGTACTACCTACAATAAACACTACCATAAACCTAACCGATAGTTAAAAAAAAAATGAG